CTTCTCTAAATTTTTGGTAGAATTCAGCTGTGAAGCCATCTGGTCCGGGGCTTTTGTTTGCTGGAAGATTTCTGATTACAGTGTCGATTTCCATGCTTGTGATGGGTCTGTTAAGATCTTCTATTTCTTCCTGGTTCAGTTTTGGAAAGTTATACTTTTCTAAGAACTTGTCCATTTCTTCCAAGTTGTCCATTTTATTGGCATAGAACTGCTGGTAGTAGTCTCTTATGATCCTTTGTATTTCAGAGTTGTCTGTTGTGATCTCTTCATTTTCATTTCTAATTTTGTTGATTTGGTTCTTCTCCCTTTGTTTCTTAATGAGTCTGGCTAACGGTTTGTCAATTTTATTTACCTTTTCAAAAAACCAACTTTTAGCTTTGTTGATTTTTGCTATGGTCTCTTTTGTTCCTTTTGCATTTATTTCTGCCCTAATTTTTAAGATTTCTTTCCTTCTACTAACCCTGGGGTTCTTCATTTCTTCCTTCTCTAGTTGCTTTAGGTGTAGAGTTAGGTTATTTATTTGGCTTTTTTCTTGTTTCTTGAGGTAAGCCTATAATGCTATGAACCTTCCCCTTAGAACTGCTTTTACAGTGTCCCATAGGTTTTGGGTTGTTGTGTTTTCATTTTCATTCGTTTCTATGCATATTTTGATTTCTTTTTTTATTTCTTCTATGATTTGTTGGTTATTCAGAAGAGTATTATTTAGCCTCCATATGTTGGAATTTTTAATAGTTTTTTTTTCCTGTAATTGAGATCTAATCTTACTGCATTGTGGTCGAAAATGGTGACTGGAATGATTTCAATTTTTTTGAATTTACCAAGGCTAGATTTATGTCCTAGGATGTGATCTATTCTGGAGAAGGTTCCGTGTGCACTTGAGAAAAAGGTGAAATTGATTGTTTTGGGGTGAAATGTCCTATAGGTATCAATTAGGTCTAGCTGGACCATTGTATCATTTAAAGTTTGTGTTTCCTTGTTAATTTTCTCTTTAGTTGATCTATCCATATGTGTGAGTGGGGTATTAAAGTCTCCCACTATTATTGTGTTATTGTTAATTTCCCCCTTCATTCTTGTTAGCATTTGCCTTACATATTGCAGTGCTCCTGTGTTGGGTGCATATATATTTATAATTGTTATATCTTCTTCTTGGATTGATCCTTTGATCATTATGTAGTGTCCTTCTTTGTCTCTTTTCATAGCCTTTTTTATCTGATATAAGTATTGCGACTCCTGTTTTCTTTTGGTCTCCGTTTGCGTGAAATATCTTTTTCCAGCCCTTCACTTTCAGTCTGTGTGTGTCCCTTGTTTCGAGGTGGGTCTCTTGTAGACAGCATATATAGGGGTCTTGCTTTTGTATCCATTCAGCCAGTCTTTGTCTTTTGGTTGGGGCATTCAACCCATTTACATTTAAGGTAATTATTGATAAGAATGGTCCCGTTGCCATTTGGTTTGTTGTTATGGGTTCATGTTCATACAACCTTTCTGTGTTTCCTGTCTAGAGAAGATCCTTTAGTATTTGTTGAAGAGCTGGTTTGGTGGTGCTGAATTCTCTCAACTTTTTTTTTCCATTTATTTTTATTAGTTGGAGGCTAATTACTTTACAACATTGTAGTGGTTTTTGCCATACATTGACATGAATCAGCCATGGATTTACATGTATTCCCCATCCTGATACCCCCTCCCACCTTCCTCTCCACCCAATCCCTCTGGGTCTTCCCAGTGCACCAGCCCCGAGCACTTGTCTCATGCATCCAACCTGGGCTGGTGATCTGTTTCACCCTTGATAATATACATGTTTTGATGCTGTTCTCTCGAAACATCCCACCCTCGCCTTCTCCCACAGAGTCCAAAAGTCTGTTCTGTACATCTGTGTCTCTTTTTCTGTTTTGCATATAGGGTTATCATTACCATCTTTCTAAATTCCATATATATGTGTTAGTATACTGTATTGGTCTTTATCTTTCTGGCTTACTTCACCCTGTATAATGGGCTCCAGTTTCGTCCATCTCATTAGAACTGATTCAAATGATGAATTCTCTCAACTTTTGGTTGTCTGTGAAGCCTTTGAATTCTCCTTCGTATCTGAATGAGATCCTTGCTGGGTACAATAATCTGAGTTGTAGGTTATTCTCTTTCATTCCTTTAAGTATGTCTTGCCATTCCCTTCTGGCCTGGAGGGTTTCTATTGAACGATCAGCTGTTATCTTTATGGGAATCCCCTTGTGTGTTATTTATTGTTTCTCCCTTGCTGCTTTTAATATTTGTTCTTTGTGTTTGATCTTTGTTAATTTGACTAATATGTGTCTTGAAGTGTTTCGCCTTGGGTTTATCCTGTTTGGGACTCTCTGGGTTTCTTGGACTTGGGTGGCTATTTCCTTCCCCATTTTGGGGAAGTTTTCAGCTGTTATCTCCTCAAGTATCTTCTCATGGCCTTTCTTTTTGTCTTCTTCTTCTGAGACTCCTATGATTCAAATGTTGGGGCGTTTCACATTGTCCCAGAGGTCCCTGGGGTTGTCCTCATTTCTTTTAATTCTTTTTTCTTTTTTCCTCTCTGCTTCATTTATTTCCACCATTTTATCTTCTACCTCACTTGTCCTATCTTCTGCCTCCGTTATTCTACTGTTGGTTCCCTCCAACAGTAGAGTGTTTTTGATCTCATTTATTGCATTATTCATTTTTAATTGACTCTTTTATTTCTTCTAGGTCCTTGTTAAATATTTCTTGCATCTTCTCAATCCTTGTCTCCAGGTTATTTATCTGTAACTCCATTTTTTTTTTCAAGATTTTGGATCATTTTTATTATCATTATTCTAAATTCTTTTTCAGGTAGATTTTCATGTTCCTTTACTTGCTGGGTATTTCTCTGCCTTTTCATCTTATTTAGATTGCTGGGTTTGGGGTGGCCTTTTTGTATCCTGGTAGTCTGTGGTTCCTTTTTATTGTGGAGGTTTCTCCCAGTGGGTGGGGCTGGATGTTTGGCTTGTCGAAGTTTGCTGGTTAGAGAAGCTTGTGTCTGTGTTCTGGTGGGTGGAGCTGGATTTCTTCTCTCTGGAGTGCAATGGAGTGTCCAGTAGTGAGTTTTGAGATGGGTCTATGGGTTTGGTGTGACTTTGGGCAGCCTGTATATTGACGCTCAGGGCTATGTTCATGCGTTGCTGGAGAATTTGCATGATATGTCTTGCTCTGGAACTTATTGGCTCTTGGGTGGTGGTTGGTTTCAGTGTAGGTATGGAGGCTTTTGGATGATCTCTTATTACTCAATGTTCCTTGTAGTCAGGGGTTCTCTGGTGTTCTCAGGTTTGGGGCTTAAGCCTCTTGCCTCTGGATTTCAGTCTTATTCTTTCAGTAGCCTCAAGACTTCTCCCTCCATACAGCACTGATAATAAAACTTCTAGGTTAATGGTGAAAAGATTCTCCACCATGAGAGACAACCAGAGAGGTTCACAGAGTTACATGAAGAAGAGTAGAGGGAGGAAGGAGATAGAGGTGAGCAGGAGGAGAAAAGGGGGGATTCAAGAGAGGAGAGACAGATCTAGGTTGTACTCTGTTCCCTAAGTGTTCTCCGTAGCCCAGAACACCCACAGAGATTCACAGAATAGAAGGGGGAGGGAGGAAATAGAGGTGATCTGGGGGAGAAAAAGGAGAGTCAAAAGGGGGAGAGAGTGATCAAACCAGTAATCATACTCCTGAGTAAAAATGGGTACTGAAGTTTGGATTTTTAAATGTCCAAAATTGATATCAAATACTGAAAAACAATGATTAAAAATCTAGAGTAGAGGTTAGACTCTTAAAACTACAATATTAAAAAACCACAAAAACAGAAAAAATTTAAGAAATATATATGAAGTTCACTTTAAAAATAGGGTCTTTTTTTTGGCCAGGTTATAGTGGGTTATAAAAATGAAAAAGAGTAATAGAGGACTTTAAAAAGAAAAGAAAAGAAAAGGAAAAAAAGAAAGAAAGAGAAAAAAATTTTTAATTAAAAAAATAATAATAGTAAAATATATCTAGGAATTTCTCTGGAGCTGTTGCAGGCAGTGTGGGTTCAGTTCAGTTTCAGATAGCTCCTTGTTGGAGCTTACACTTCTTGATATCTACAGGCCCCTTCCAGTGTAGTCAGTGTTAACTACAGGGATTTTAATCTGTTGCACCTGTCACTTCTGAAGCGGTTCCCTTTGTTTGTTTGGCTTCTGTTTGTGGGTCTCTTCAGTGTCTAATTTCCACCCTATCACAAGCAGGTGAAGGTGGTCTCTTGTTTAGGTTCGCTGATTCAGTGGTGCTGCGGGGCGGGAGGGGCACTGCAGACAAATGTCACTGGCGTGTGTGGAGCACTCGCAGTGTTCCGGCCACACTGGGTTTGCCCCCGCTTGCAGCGTGTGTGCTTCCCCCGTCTACACTGCTCAGGCTCCAGCCTGCTCTCCAGGGAACAGGCCCTGAGTTGCGTTCACTTCGAAGGCCTAAGCCGCTCAGATTCAGGTTTTCGGGTACTCCACAAAAGTGCAGACTCGGTTGGGCCTTCATTTTGTGCCTTCCCCATCTGAGCAGCTCAGGCAGCCAGGAGCTTGTGAGCACGCTTTCCCCAGATGTGGTGCGCCTTATCCCCTCCGCGGTCCCAGCCTCAGTTTCCAGGTGCGCCGGTTTGGCGCGCCTTGTGTCTGTTCTGGGAAGCTGATTTCTGGCTGCAACCCTCCTGGCGGACGTCAACCATCCAGAATCTCAGGAAGTCTTTGGTTAGAAGCTGGGAGCCTGGTAGGGGATGCCATCTCTGGGGCCAAGTTTGCCCCTTTCCCCTCCCGCCCTGCCTCCTGCCTCTGGAGGGGGATGGGCCAGTCCACAGCCGGCTAGCTCTTCTCTGTATTAGCTCAGTCCTTTGTTCTGGGAATGGGCGGGTAGTGCTTAAATTTCGGGCTTTTCCCAAGTTAATTCTCTCTCTCTTGCTATCCCACAGTTTAAGTTGCTATCTCTTATTACCTCCCTCCGATTGTCCTCAGGGATTTCAGGCCCGGTCCTTACCCTAAGCAGTGCTGCCCGCTCCTCTCCATTCAGCCCCCACTTGCTGGTGGCGGATGCGGGCGTCTGGGATACTTTTTTGCTGGGAGTTGTTTTTAGGCATGTAATCTGTGGGTTTTATTTATTTTCTCTCCCAGTTAGGTTGCCCTCCGAGATTCGAAAACTTCCCCCAGACCTGCCAGTGAGAGGGTTTCCTGGTGTTTGGAAACTTCCTCTATTAAGACTCCCTTCCCGGGACAGCTCTCTGTCCCTAACTCTATTGTCTCTCTTTTTATCTTTTATATTTTGTCCTACCTCCTTTCGAAGGCAATGAGCTGCTTTTCTGGGTGTCTGATGTCCTCTGCTAGCGATCAGAAGTTGTTTTGTGGAGTTTGCTCAGCGTTCAAGTGATCTTTAGATGAATTTGTGGGGGAGAAAGTGGTCTCCCCCTCCTATTCCTCCGCCATCTTAGTTCCCTCCCCTCACTGTTCTGCTTTAAATGACCTATTCATTTCATTATTTCTTGACCTCTTATTTTTTGATCAACCCACCCACAAACTTGTGTCTCATTCGAAACCATTCCTGGGTTTTAATTTAGCATCTACAAAATCAGTCCCCTTGCTTCTTACTATATTGAGTAACACGGTAAAAATGTTTTCAGCTATCTTATTTTAGAGACAAACATAAATTGAGTTTTAAATAGATGTTTTGATCAAACCTTATAAATATGAAATTACATTAGTAGGAAAAATGAAATACAATTTTATTGCTCCTTTTTCTATGTTGGAAAAATGATAAATCCAAAATCAATATACTGTACATTTCATGATTAACCCACAATCAAGGATACTATACTTGGCTCCTTCAAATGTATGGTGACACAGAAGGAATTGAGAGGAAACACATGAAATACCTATCTCCTCTTTATTAAAAGGCAGAGGGCTGGAATAGTTCTTTTTGATGGGTTAAGTACTGACCTACAAAAGTGGAGAAATTAGGCCAGAGAAGAAGGGGTAAGCCTTGTGGAAAGAAGTTGAAGTGTGGTTGCTATAGAGTTATAAAACTCCTAGACCTGATCAAAGAGAGGAAAGCCAAAGGGGTTCTTTCATGTGCTAGAATAGGAAGTCTCAGAACATTCTTATGAAAAATAAGCAATGATCTTGCTTAACTGCTAACTGGGCTTCCTGGAGACTTTTCCTGTCCTTTTATTCCAACATCAGCAGTTTAATCAGGTTTATAAAGAGAGAGAAGAGCTTGTTAAAACTCCTTCTTTGACTTTTCTTTTTTTCCCTCTTCCCTGAACACTGTTCAAAATCAACCAATAAGTGAAAAACCTACATAGTAATATCTCAGTTCGTTAATGTGAAGGAAAATATGAGGCATATTGAATAACAAATAAGCAACCAATCTTAAAAATAACTGATAATTGATGAAGTACAAATGGTGGCCCTTTAATAATGGTATATTTAATATAACTGAGATTTATCCATAAAAACTTCATTTTAGAGGAGACGGGAAATTTAAGTTTTAGAAGAGCAAAATGTTGGTTTTCAAAAATAAAAAGGAAATGAATGCAAAATATCCAGATGTTTAGGAAAATGGTAAAACTATATTTTCAGGGACAACCTATTAGATTCTCATTTCCCTGAATTTTTATATTCGAGTGTCCAGGTTCTTAATATATTGAACATAAAAGCTGCATTAGATCACTAGCAAACATTCAGCATCAAAGAAAATAAAAATTACTGATCACTTCTTGGTTTTTGTGGCAAGGGATAGGAGAAGAAAGAAGAAAATGAATGTCTTCTCTATTTTGATTGCTAAATTTCAATGCTAACAACAAGACTAGTACATGTTTATGGACAGAAACAGATCACCAGCCCAGGCTGGATGCATGAGACAAGTGCTCGGGCCTGGTGCACTGGGAAGACCCAGAGGAATCGGGTGGAGAGGGAGGTGGGAGGGGGGATCGGGATGGGGAACACATGTAAATCCATGGCTGATTCATGTCAACGTATGACAAAAACCACTACAATATTGTAAAGTAATTAGCCTCCAACTAATAAAAATAAATGAAAAAAAAAGAAATATACAAACATTTTTAGACATACCATGAGTGACTGCTTAATCACAAGGTCAAAGTAGACTTTTTAGATACAGGTTTCTATATGGTCTTATAAGATTGTGTGAAAACTTATCTGTGGAGGCAAACTATTTGAGTTCACCTCACTTCTCTCCTATTTATTAATTTAATCTCTCCATGCCTAAGTTTACTTGTTTTTTAGCAGGCAGGGAATAATAGCTACCCTTTAATGTTGTAAAGATTTAATGAAGTTACGTATATAAACTGTCTAAGATAAATTTTGGCATAAAAATGGATCGTAAATAAGGGGAAGTTACATTATTCACCAAAATTGAAACTCCATGATGGTATAAAATATGCATTATCTATGATTGTATCTCCAATGCTTTTATATGTGTCAAGCACACAATAAACACAATAAGTAAATTTTTAAATAAATGAATGAACCCCAGCTCCCCACTGCATAAAATCAAACATAAATTGGGTCATATCAATGAGAGCATTGGTTGCTATTAGTGAATTCTCATTGACCACAATCAGTGTAGTCAGCAAAGAGTCCCCTGTAGTGAAAGGTTATTCTCACTCTGCTCTTATGTAGTGCAGGTGCTGAAATTGAAATACAGGACCACCAGGGGGCAGAGAGATGGCTCTCTGACATAGAGTTGGAGTTAAGTAAGGACATATAGTTTGGGTCTTAATCTTTCGGCATTTCTTCTTTAAATTATTTCATCTTGTTGATACTTAATAATGTCTCCAATAGGTAGTATGTTTCTGGAAATGTTCTTCCTGGATACCACGATTTAGACTATGCTGATTTAAGACTACTGGATATAACAGAAATATTCACTAAAAGCATTCAATTTATTCTTTTTCTTTCATTGAAGTGTTAAGCATGTTCATTTGATCCCCATTGATTTTATTAATATATCCTCATGTATTTTACTAATATACTCATACATATATTGATACTACTTTATGCCCTTACACATTCTAATCATTTTTTTAGTTGAAACAATTTCTCTTAAAGAGTACAAACATAAATGAATATTTCATAACTTATCAATAGTCAAAGAAACAACAAGTGAAAGGAGAAAAGACGAATATAAGCTGATAGTGTAAATCCTAATTGCACAAGACTATAGTGAAGACCAGGCTTCCCAGGTGATGCTAGTGGTAAAGAACCCACCTGCAAATTCAAGAAACATAAGAGACAAATTCAGGAGACATAAGAGACCTGAGTTCAATCCCTGGGTCTGGAAGATCCCCTGAAGGAGGGCATGGCAACCCACTACAATGTTCTAACCTGGAAAATCCCATGGACAGAGGAGCCTGGCGGGCTACAGTCCACAGGGTCACAAAGAGTCAGACACGACTAAAGCGACTTAGCATGCATGCATGCATATTAAAGCCCTCATTTGAACAGAAGCAGAGATAATCAGCAACCCTCCAACATGTACACATCATATGGGTAAGTGAACTCTGGTTTATATAATAAGAAAAGTAAGTCAACTCGGAGCTTTGAAGATTACCATAGTGATAACATTTGGATTTTATCTCAAATTCATGCCATTTTTGCTAGAGTTAGGAAACGATTTCCTTTTTCAGTATGCTTTCAAATCCAGTGGCAAAATAAATGTTTTAGTCTTTCCATTAAATAGAAATATCTACAACGTCTTAATTAAAAAATATGTAGTTAGTCTTCTGATTATGAAATTAACTTCACTTAATTGGGAGGCTATGTACTACAGTAGATTAAAAGACAGGTGTTGGAGTCAGGAAGACCTAGAAGCAGAACTCATAGTTGTCATATATGATCTTCAACAAATCCCTTTGTGTTTCTGTGCTTCAATTTCTTTGTCTGTAAAGTAGGAAGAAATAATACCCAGATAATACAAGTTTAAAGTGTTATCTTTGGGATTTTCCATGTATAGTGTCACGTCATCTGCAAACAGTGACAGTTTTACTTCTTCCTTTCCAATTTGGGTTCATTTTATTTCTTTTTCTTCTCTGACTGCTGTGGCTAGGACTTCTAAACCTATGTTGAATAAACGTGGTGAGAGTGGGTATCCTTGTCCTGTTCCTCATCTTAGAGGAAATGCTTTCAACTTTTCACTAAGTTGAGTATGATGTTAACTGTAGGTTTGTCATATATGGCCTTTATTATGTTGAGGTATGTTCCTCTATGCCCAATTTCTGGAGCGTTTTTATCATAAATTAATTTTATCAAAAGCTTTTTCTACGACACTATCATATGGCTTTTACTCGTCAATTTGTTAATATGTTTGTAGCACATTGATTGATTTGTGAATATTGAAAAATCCTTGCATCCCGGGGAAAAATTCCACTTAATCATGGTGCATGATTATTTTAATGTATTGTTGGATTTGGTTTGCTAATATTTTTTAAGGATTTTTGTATTTATGTTCATCAGTAATATTCGCCTGTAATTTATTTGTGTGATATCTCTTTCTGGTTTTGGTATTAGGGTGATGCTGGTCTCATATAATGAGATATCACCTCACACCTGTCAGAATGACTATCATCAAAATGAACACAAATAACAAATCTTGGCAAGGTTATAGAGAAACAGGAGTCCACGTACACTGTTGGTGGGAATGTAAATTGGTACAGCCACTGTGGAAAACAGTATGGAGATTCCTCAAAAAACTAAAAATAGATCATATGACCCAGGAATTCCACTCCTAGGTATATATCCAAAACAAAATACCAAATGAAAAGACAAAAACACTACTTTGAAAAGATGCATGTACCTCAATGTTCATAACAACGTATCTATAATAGCCAAGATATGGAAGCAACCTAAATGTTCATCAACAAATGTAATAGATATTCACAATGTAATACTATTCAGCCATTTAAAGAATGCAGTTTTGCTATTTATCACAATATGGATAGACTTAGCATTATGCTAAGTGAAATAAATCAGAGAGAGAAAGACAAATGCTATATGATATCATTTAGAAGTG